GCGGGGTCAGGCCAAAGGTCCGTCCAGCCCAGTGTCCTGTCTGCCCACAGTGGCCAATGCCAGATGACCAATGCTGGCCACGGTCAGCAGACAGGCTACTGGGCTAGATGGACCTTTGGTCTGACCCAGTACGGCCATTCTTATGTTCAAGAATGACACAGTGTAGAATCAGAGGGATAACTAACTCCCTGTTGCCCTCATACTCCCTAGTGCTGAACAGAGCTTGGCCATAGTAGAGAATCTAGTCAGTAGTTTTGACTGAGTAGAATGATTGATTTAAAAAAAAAAAAAAAAGTAAAGAAATATTTTTGGTGGTATGTACCAGTTCTGTATTTCAAAGAGGGGGACTGTGTGGTCTGCTGAAGAAGATTGCATGCAGCTAAAGAAAAAGTAATGAAAGAGCTGCTTTCGTAGGGATTTTTCTTGTTCAAGACCTAGGATGTCTGGAAAGTGGAGAGTGTGTGTGTGTGTGTGTGTGTATATATGTATATATATATATATATATATATATATATATATATATATATATACACATTATATATATATATATATATATATGTGTGTGTCCAGAAGTACTTCCCCCACGTGGGTATGCCTTCCTGTTTATATTAAATGTGGTGCTTGAGGGGTTTATTTTAAACAGATGCCTTTTTTCTGTATGCATGATTATTACTGAAGCACTTAAAGTGACAAGAAGGAATGAGTATCTATCATGTGACTGGCTTGTTTAAGTCTGTAAGTTGTTTTTATGTTCCTAGAGCTAACTTAAAAGAGAGTTTTATATAAAGAATAAGTTTGTTATAACTTCTAAAACTTGCCATATAGTGACTTCATTATATATGAAAGCAAAAGACATGTAAGGGTTATTTTTCAGGGGAGGACGTTAGAAATTTTGAATACTTATTTCATTGGGATTTTGAATAACCGTTCTGTGTTCTAAGCCAGACCTCCCTTCATTTGCGTCCCAAGGTTTGTCATGTGGTTTGGCAGACTTTCTAAGTTTGCCGTTAATTTTTTTTTTTTATTTAAAACTTGTGCCTGTGTGCTCCCCTTCCACAAAAAAATCTAGATGGAAAAATGTTGTACTCCACACGTGGCAGATTCAGAATTCTAGCCATTTTAATACTTACAGCGAGCCTGCAAAGAAACTGGGAGCATTTTTAATATGAGAAATGACTGATGAGTTGATTTTAACCAAAGTTAGCCTGAATTACATTTACTGCCCATATATCTTTGAATCTTAATTTTGTTTAAAGTTTCTTTAAGTGCAAGTTACAAGTTATTTAACAAAAATGAAGTAATGATTTTCTAATGTGAAATTGGGTTAATTGCTATGTTTAGGGAGGTGCGACTTGGGAGAAATGGGGTAGAAGAAATTAAACAGCACCCTTTCTTTAAGAGCGATCAGTGGAACTGGGATAACATTCGAGAGAGTAAGTAAATTGTAGTTTAGATTTTAACATATTGAATATTTGCATAAAAAGCTAATTTGATTAGCTTTAGTTAATTAACAGCATGGAATTAAAAATGTAACACTTAAAATATTACTGTACAAAACTTATGTGAAGTAATTTTTTGTCTCAAGGGCTTTCACATAAATTGTTTCTCTTGCTATCATTCTTGTCAATAGAAAAAGCTGTCCTAAATACCTCTTTTCTCTTTTAATCAAAACTTCTGTTATGAAATGCACTTATTGAAGCTTCTTAATATAGTTAAAATTGGGATTAAATATGTGTCTTAAATCTTGCTGCTTTAGAAAATGTATGTTTTGTGAGGTAAAAACTGTGCCTGCCTCAGGAAATTGATTTTTTTTAATGGTTTTCTTTGTATTGTGTGGTAACAGATAATTTCAAACCAGTTACTTTGTCAAATGTAGGTGTGGAAAGAAAATATATACCATGTACCAGGTTTACCGTATGTGTTGATATTGTGTGTCGAAATACCCCTAACGGAATGTTACCATAAAGCTGACTATTTTTTCCTTTGTAGCTGCTGCTCCTGTTGTACCTGAGCTTAGCAGTGACATAGACAGCAGTAATTTTGATGACATTGAGGATGACAAAGGAGACGTGGAAACCTTTCCAATCCCCAAAGCCTTTGTGGGAAACCAGCTGCCTTTTATAGGATTTACCTATTATCGAGAGAATCTGTATGTGACATATTTTAATGTACATTTTGTCAAATACAGCTGAAAATTATTTAATTATATTCCTGTCTTCTTGGTTAAACACACGTGTAATTTTACACTGTAATATAGTTCTGTCCCTTGTTGAATATGTAAAATGTGGAGTTTAAGTTGGATTTATCAAAATATGCCAATTTTTAGATGTTTCTAATTTTATGTAGTAACTTATAAAATTGCTGTTGTGTTCTAGCCTATATACTCTTTTTTTTTTTAATTAGCTAATTTCAGAAAAAAAGTGTACAAATAGAGCATATGCTGTGTTAGGGCTGTTTCTTTTCATTACTATTTAAGTTCAATTTGCATTATGAGTCATGTGTATTCTATCTACATAATTAATATAACTATTGTAAGTAATTCCTTTAAACATTAGAAACTAGTATTGAACTGAAGTTAAGTCTGAACATTCATTTTGGTCAAGAGAACATTCAAATGAAAACTCATACTGAATAAAAATGGCTTAATTCTGAGACTAGCCTAGTGGAGATTAAGACTTGAGAGAAATGATTAAAATGAGTTGATTGGCATGGTTGCTAGAGTTGTTGAAAACTTGAATAAGAGTTGGTTTTTTTCTGACAGGTTGCTAAGTGACTCTCCTCAGTCTTGTAGAGAAAATGAATCCATGCAATCCAGGAAAAATGAGGTAAGTACTTTTTAAAAATAAACTTTAATGTATGTTTAACTTATTTTGCTATGACTGTTAAGACTTGTACAATGTTCAGTTATGAATAATTGTGTAATTCTGTATAATATATTTTATCTAATTACTGACAGATTCAATCTGTGAACATGAAAATGTCAAACTACTATATGAAATTGTAGAGTATAAATTTTAATGAATGGCTTGTGTTTATATAGTATTAATTTCATGTAGAAATAAGAGTTGTATTAATGTTTGTGTAAATTACTGCAATAATTGAAAATGCATTTCCTGTAATTAAACAAATATTTGTAAACTCCAGAATATTTTCTAATTAAAACATGATTATAGTCCAAGATGACCTTCAAAGTATAAGATATTCTGTGTCTGAAATTTGAGTACTCATAGTAATACAATTTTTTAAAATAGGTTTTTGGAAATATTTCTTTGCCTTTTTAATGCTCACAATTTAAAAAAAATGATTTCTTTTTTACAGGACAGCAAAGAGGTAGGTGCATTATTTTGAATAATGAAAAAGTAAGATAGATATTTTTTGTTACCATGAAATAATATCTTAAAAGTTTAGGATGATAAACCTTTAACAGTAGATTAATCTGTTTATGAATAAACAAATTGTGTAAATTGCTTATAAGAAGAGACCCTACAGTCAGTTATAAATGAAATAAGGTTAATAGTCATTCAAATTTATACTATAGTTACCTTTAATTCCTATTTGGCAACCAGAATTTGTTTTGCAAATAAATGTGTAAGACATTTTTTTCACCAGAAAACATTTTGCTCCAGGGAACATTGTAGATTTTGGCTCCACATCTATGTGATTCATCACAAATTTGTCCAGGGGAGGAAAAGTTAAATTTTCACGCATTATTGGTGAAGGAATGGTTATAACCTTAAAACTGACCCTCAGCTGGCATGAGTGTGTGAATCAGGAACATTTATTCAGAATTTGTGGATTGCCAACTGAGTTAATGCACTAAAATGACAGGAAGTCTGTTTGGATTTTTGTATATATCAAAGTAAATTAATATATTAACACTATTGATGTTAGCCCTCTCTTAGTAAATCAACAGAATTTTGTCTTTAATTAAAAATTGTGAGGGTTTGCTCATTTTTAAACCTTACAAGCAACTGTGGAAAAAGATCATACTACACACCAGGCAAACGTAAAAATAAATAATCACATGCTTCCTTTCCATCATATGTGCTGATTACCAGTTTTTCATGTTTTACTTAAAGCCCCTAGCTTTTAGTCATGTAATTGTGACCATCTCACATTCCATTTTTTAAAGTGTTTCTATTTCTTATAATAGCAGGAAAAAAATTTGAAAACATGAACCCTGTAGACTCAGAAGCCCAGAAGGCAATTAAAATCTCCCAAATTTATTGTCTTTAAGCCAATCTTATAAATGGTTTGTATTGACTCATGGTTTTAGAATGTCAGGAATTGAAAATACGGAGTTTTCCAAAATATCATTGGGACAAATCAGGTTCTGAGCAAGTGTTAGTCAAACACATTTGTTACCTTCTTTCATGATAAATTCTACCGAAACGTTTTCAGAGCATTCTTAAAATGTTGTGTATTTTGGTCATATACCTGATAGAGCTTTTATGGAGGGACTAATTCAAAGAATCTGCTCTCAAAGGATGCAGTTAGAGAGAATAAAGGAGAGGGCCAGAAACAACATTCTGTTCCTGTGGAGCTTTTGTGGCTCACCATCTGCAGCACGTAATACTGTGATGGCTAGATATATTTTTTTTTTATTGTAAGCAACAAGTTTAGATTCTATGGATATCTTCATGAAGAATCTTCATGAATGTTCCTGTCTTGTAGAGAGAGAGCTTTAATTCCCAATAATAGAGTGGGGGTGATTGGTTGAGAAATAATGTTCTGTCCCCATCAAATTGAAAGATTATCTTGATATTCATTGCTCATTTTCCTTGGTTAGTTAACTGAACTACACTCATTTTTATACAGCAGTACTTTATATGTAAACCATACACTTTCTGACAGTTTGCACAGTTTCAGAAAAAACTGAGCAAGTTAGAAGAACAACTCAGTAATGAAATTCAAGCCAAAGATGAACTAGAACAGAAATGCAGGTAAGAATTATATTTGGTATATTTATGCCAGACATATTTTAATTTTCCATTTTGAAAACTTAAAATACAATTTAAAGCATTCTTCAGGGACTGTAACTCCACCAAGCCTATCTCATTTTAAACAGCCAGTTTGTTAGCCCCATATGATGAACACTACCTTTGAAAGATAACAGGGGTTCTAATGGGTCAGGCCAGTGGTTCATCTACATCATTAGTCTCTCTTCTGACAGTGGCCAGTGCCAGATGCTTCTGTAATGAACAGAACAGGGCAGTTACTGAGTAATCTATACCTTGTAGTCAGTTGGAGATAGGGATACCTGGAGCATGGAGTTGTACCCCTAACCATCTTTTTTGTGTGGTGGGTTTTTTGTTTTTGTTTTTTCGTTTTTAAGAGAAGACATCTCTGCAGGACACAATATATTTTTTCTCAGTGCTTGTCTGGTTGCTTAAAATAGGATTCACTATAGAAGATTCACAAGGTGCATCCACGTTATTTTGTTTTTCATTTTAACTGATGGTTGCTTTTGTTCTAATATTTGTTTTCTTATTCTTTAGGTCTGTCAATGCTCGTTTAGAGAAGATAGTGAAAGAACTAGATGAAGAGGTAAATCGTATTTTTATTGCACTTATACCTTAATTGTTCTGATATATGTCCTAAGTATGTTTACTTTCCTCAGGATGCACCAACTTTTACATGACATTGGTACAACAGCATGAGTGTATGTTCTAACAGTACATCCTAACATAAATGTGCTGCCACTATTGCAATAACTTGGCAAGAGGAGGGTAAAGTGATACCTACAGTATTTTAATTGATTCCAGAATCATGTTTACTATGTCCTATGCCTTAGTTAATAGTTTATAGAGAAATAACTTTTAAATACAATTTCTGTGAATTGAATTCCCATGAAAGATGCAGGGTTGATTCTGTTGAAGGCTGAAATATTCCCTCCATAGAGCAGATAACAGGCCTTCAACTATCTCTCTATTGCCCTATCCTTGTATCTCAACCCTAATTGGTATGCCCATTTAATCATTGGTTTTGCTGCTGAGTCTGCCAGTTTTGCTGATGTCGCTTGTTCATTCTGTACTCTTTTGCTGGAAACTAGATAGAAATCCCTGGATACATTTAGCATAGACCAGGGGTTTGGAACCTTTTTTGGGCTGGGGGCCATTGACCCACAGATATATCAGTTGGGGGCCACACACAAGTGAGAAGCAACCAAACCCTCAATAACGTGGCCCTTAGCAGGGAGAAGCCTCAGAGCCTGGATCCAGGCAAGTTGTGGGCCGCATGCAGCCCTCAGCCCTTAGGTTCCCCACACCTGACATAGAACATCAACAGCCTTCATACGGGAACAGTTTTTGGGCACTGCCAGCCAGGAGTATATTTGAACTGGTCTTATACCCATTGCTGGTCTCCTGACTACCCAAATTCCTCAGCAATAATATTTTATGACTGTACAATTATATGCCAATTGTGTATTGTTCTGCAATTATATAAGAACACAGCTATTAAGTGTTATGGTGTATGCATGCTGTAGTCAGATTAAGTACATATTTGTGTATTTAAGTTAATTGCAATTCATGAGCTACCTTTAGAATTTTTGAAGTAATACCATGGTTCTGTGATTTTTCTTTAAATTTAACTATGATTTATCTCCAGGTAACATCAAGGAAGAATGTAGAATCTGCATTAAGGCAATTAGAAAGAGAGAAAGCTCTTCTTCAGCACAAGAATGCAGAATACCAGCGCAAAGCAGAACACGAAGCAGATAAAAAACGCAATTTGGAAAATGATGGTATGTAGAACAGTACTTTAAATGGGGTACATGGAGATTTTAACATAAGGTAGCAGAACTGTTGTCTTGTTTGTAAGATCTGTTTAAAGATAATCAGTGTGTGATGGAGGGCACTTATGATTATTTTATTGTAGTTAACAGTTTGAAAGACCAACTTGAAGATTTGAAAAGGAGAAATCAGAACTCTCAAATATCAAATGAGAAAATCAATCAGCTACAAAGACAGGCAAGTTGTGTGTGTTAATTTAAAATCATTGTTTTAATAGGCTATTGGGGCACCCTTCTTAGCAAATGAAAATTGCATGTAGTTACAGAAGTTGCTATCTAACATGAAATGCTGGTCTACTAATATAATGTTAGTAAACGTTTCCATACTTCTCTTTTTCCTTTGATCCATAAATTGTTGATTAAATTGAAATAGAGATGGTTGTTTTGTATTTTAATAGTCTAAAATGTGTTTTTACTAATCAATAGCTGGATGAAGCCAATGCTTTGCTACGCACAGAGTCTGATACTGCTGCCAGGTTAAGGAAGAACCAGACTGAAAGTACAAAGCAAATTCAGCAGTTGGAAGCTAATAATCGAGAATTGCAAGATAAAAACTGCATGCTGGAGAATGCTAAACTCAAACTTGAGAAGGACTACATCAATCTTCAGTCAGCCCTAGAATCTGAAAGAAGAGATCGAAGTCACGGGTCAGAGATTATCAGCGATCTACAAGGTAATGTGTCTACTTTGATTCAAGGTGCAGAAATAGAAAAGAGTATAATATAATTATTTGATCTGGGAATTGTAACTAAGTTTAATAAATTATCCAAGTCAACTATATCTTTCCATAATAACATTTCATCAGTAGATGTCAAATGATGCTAGCACATCTGAATCACCTAGAAGACAGACATTTTTGAGTAGTCAAAACATATTCACAATTAACAGTTATGAATTATTGCTAACTTTTTATTGGACTAATTGATGTTTTCAACATTTTTAGGTCGAATATCTAGCCTAGAAGAAGAAGTAAAAAATGGAAAGTGTGCATTAGCGAAAGCAGAAGTGGAGAAGAGACAATTACAAGAGAGATTCACAGATTTGGAAAAGGTAACGTCACATGTTAAAGTAGAATGTATACTTAATATGTGTGTAAAAGGTAGAATAGAAATTGGTTGCAGTCATGGAAATCAAACTAGTCAAATTGAAGCTTCTTGGTTGTTACATGAATTGGTAATTTTTTTCCTTAACATTTCTCTCTCAAATCATTTTCAGCATATGTAGGAAATCAATAACTGTCATTTTAAGATAGAGGAATATCTTATAGCAGTAGTTTTCAATCTTTTTTCATTTGTGGAGTCTTAAAATTTTAAATGCAGGTGTGAACATTTTTAGAGATAATAGATGTACACAGATTGCTTTAAAAACTCCCTATGCAACATGTTGAAAGATTGCCCATAGCAGTTTGGATGTTACTGGGATGCTTTATTGTGTAGGCTGTATTGTGCTGAGGGCTATTTTAGTCTCCATTGGGGAAAAAAAAATCAGAACTTGCTGAAGCATAGAAGATTTTTACTTGCTGTAGTATAGAATATGATCTGCTTTCACAAATCCTAAATTTTGTACTGTATTTAACTAGACACAGTATTCCTTTGTTAGGTCTCAATCCAGTCATTTTCTACTCAGAGGAATACTATTACATCAGTGCAGTGCTGAAGTCTTAATTTGTATGCTCCTTGGAGTATGGGCTATCTTTTTCTGTTAGCATATTGCTTTTAGTTGTGCTCCATAATACTACTATTGGTATCTATTTTAGCCTTAATTTGCAGCCAAAAATAATTGTTTTGTCAAATATGTCAATTTCCTTTTTCCTGTAACTTCAACAGGAGAAGAGCAACATGGAAATAGACATGACATATAAACTCAAGGTTATGCAGCAGAACCTGGAACAAGAGGAAGCTGAACATAAAGCCACAAAAGCACGATTAGCAGACAAGAATAAAATCTATGAATCTATAGAGGAAGCCAAGTCTGAAGCCATGAAAGGTACAAATGCAACCTTATATTTTAAATTATGTAACCTAGATAATGCAAGTTTTAGAATGCTCACTGTGAAATTGAAATTTATATGGTTTTGCACTTCAGAATCACTTCTTAGGAAGCTGATTCAAGAATTTTGTGTCTAAATTAAAAATTCTAGAATTGTCCAGATCACATAAAGTAATCCCCCCCCCCCCCATTGACTGGCTCAAGAGTGGCCAAGGTTTGTTATGAGGATGCTATTTGAATTATCCTCTCCTATATGTTGGGGTTGAGATACATTGGAGGAATGATTTAAGGATTCTTGCACTGCTGTATTGGTAGCTATTCTGTGTATAAATAAAAGGACTTTAGTCCAGGCAGTCGCATACATCATGTGCATTAACTTCTTCAAATGGCTCTGTGTATTCCCACTTATGGGTCTTGCACTACCAAATAGTGCTTAATGGTAGAACCTTTTCCATTAGAGCACTTATTTGCCCTCTTGTATCCTTCCCCTCTGTTTTTGAACATTCTGAGTATGAGGCTTATAAGGAGTTGTGGTGTCCTCTACTACTTCAGTTCCTTTCAAGTGCTGTGCTAAATGGAAATGAACTGTTCTAATCTGTTCAGATCCACAGGTTTTTCTCCATTGATATGATCGTTTTGCTGGCGGTTGTTTTTAGTGTGTAATAGGGATGTAAATGGTGGAAGAGTTACCTGGTAAGAATTAGTCTTACCAGCATACTTAACTGGTAATCAGTTAACTGGAGGTCCCAGCCACTGAGAGCAGCCATTCCGCCCACAGCAGCCCAGATGGCAGGGCCCTGGACATAGCAGGTCGGGGCAGCCCATAGACCAAGAGACTAGAACAGCCCCTGCCGTCTGCAGCACAGCAGGGCCAGAGCAGCTTGCATGGCAGGGTTGGCAGTCCCCCTGCCACTGAGTTCTACCAGCCTTCCACAATTAACTGATTAAACAATTACATTTATATTGTTTAACCAGTTAACTTTTTTACAGGATATTCACATCCCTAGTGTGTAGTGTAATCTAAGTATAGTAATAAATGTTGTTGATTTTATAAAGTTGGTAAGTTTGTTTCTGTGTTATGTCAAACGAAAGAAGAAGAAGCAGGATTTAAGAGACATGCTTTGTGCTCATCTGTCTTCCCAGTGTTGGGCAACTACTTTAGCTGCCTGAAGTCACTGGGGGAAGGTCATTCTCCTATGTGTTTGATTTGCTGGACTTTCATGACCAGAGCATGCAAAGAGAGGCAGAATAGACTGCAAGTACATACTTTAAGGAAGATCTAGCTGCTAAACCCTCCAGTTCATGGGTGTTAAGCATCTGACAAAGAGACTAGGTTTGGTATCTCTTTCTTTCTCTAGTAAGTAAGTTTCCTAAAGGTTCTAGGACATCAGAATCTTCATCAGTTCTAATCGGTTCTAACTCCGGAGCCTTCTGTTAAAGCTGTCAAGGCTTTGAAGGTATTATTGGTAGAAAAAGGCTGTCTGCTTTCTAAGGATTTTAGACTCACATCCTTGGCTCTGGCTCTATCAGTTCCAAGAAAGAAGACATGGAAGAAAGCAGCCATTGTTAGCAGTTTCTGATCCTGCACCTTAGATTTACTGGATCGGTAAGATTCTGATGTAGTTTCTGTGGTTCTTACTCCGAAATCTAGTCAGTTCTGGGCTCAGCTTTGGAAACAAGAGCTACAGGTTTGAGTATTTCTCTGGGTAAGGTACTACCCAGATCTGTGGGGTACGCTTTGAAGAATCTCTGCTCTGAAAAGGACTTTTACAGTGGGTGACTGAAAAGGACTTTTACGGTGGGTGACTGCTGTGTACCCTCCCTTGTTTTAGTGTTCCTTGGATCTAAACAAGAAGCAGATGGCAATGAGGAAGAGGCATGCATTATCAATTATACAGTCTACTTCACCAGAAAAAAGAGAAGAGCAGAAGAGAGTATTTCTCAGGGTGCATCTCTGTCCCCTCTTCTGCTAGCAGGTTACTGTGTTCTCTCTCCACCTTCCAGTTCCATTGTAGTTTCAGAAGTATTCCATCGTGATCCAAGATCAGATTCTCATTTAGAGGAAGAAAGGAAGAATTAAGAGATGTGATTCACCCCATTTTATGCCTTTTCTCAGCCTGTGTGCCCTAATTCCTTTACTGCTCCTCTTTTTTAAGCAGTCCTTATCTCCAGGGCTCGACAAACCGCTGAATTTACTCGCCCGTGGCGAGTAGATTTCAGCCGGTCGCTCCGTGCACCCCATGCGCAGTGCAGGGCTAGCAAGTGGCTCTCACCAGGGTTTGTCAAGCCCTGCTTATCTCCATAGCCCAATTGGGTGCTACCACAGAATTTTTTGAACCATTTTCCTTATGAATGGAGACATGATTTTCATTTGATAAAGATCCAGTGGCTCAGCAGTCTTTTGATCTGGCAGCTCTGGCTGAAGAGGAGGATGAAGAGGTAGTACCTGTTTTTGAACAAGAGCAAATGAGCTTCAGTCATGATTTGTCACTTGATATAGGTGTGACTTCTGCTTCTTCCCCTTCTGAGAATGCTTTGCAGTTCCATGACCTGGTTCATTGCCTTGTGTCCACACGGAAACCTACCTTCCATGACTGTGGAGGAAACCTCCCATCCAGTATTCAGCATCCTTGGGACTATCTCCAGGAATAGGTTACCATTGTTATGGATGGTCTTTTTCAGCTTGCTAAGATTGTTTGGTCACTTCCTGCTTCCTATCCACCTGTTTCCAAAAAACCAAAACAAAACGAAAAAACCCATGACCTGGCAAACTATCATATATCTCATTAAGGGTTTTCTTATTTTCATAGATCTTGTGCCTAATTTATTGGTTGTGGCTGCTGCCAAAAACAGACTTACAGCTGGCCAAGTCCTCTCCAGTCCTGCTGACAGTGAGGGGAAAAAGATGGATATCTTTGGGGGAGAGGTTGTTTTTTCCTTCTTCCTTTGTTATTAAGGTGGCTCATTGCCATGCAGTGATGACCTATTATCAGTTCCATCTACTGTGTATGTTCAAGATTTGCAAGCTGATAAAAGAAAAGTGGCAAATGCTACCAGAGCCTCATACTTCCTATGCCTCCTCACTCCCTCCAAGGGCTTTCAGAGGAGCTGTGAATTGCCTGATTTGTGCTCCATCTCCACTTCTCCCCATCCCTCCCAGAGCTGGAATGCTGTGAATCAGTGTCCCTGGCATTTCAGCTCTGGGAAGGAGGGAGAGGAGTGTGGATAGAGCGTGAATCGCCTAATTCACATGCTCTGATAGTTCAGTGAGGGAGAGAAGCAGGTAAGTGTGGGGCACCAGAGCCCCACAATGTGAGAGACATGTGAAGGAGGTGGTAGATGGGGAGGCTGCAGGTGGAAATCTAGTGAGTCATGGGCTCCTGCAGCCCACTGAGGTGAAGGAGGTCCATTCATGTGGTCCACCCACTATTTTTGGTTATCTATCCCTGTTTTAGACTCTTGCCAAAGCACTAGCATTTTTTCCTATATTTTCTTCAAATTAATTGTTTTCCTCCTCCATGCTGCTTGGGTGCCACCAGGGAAAACTGGGTGCCACCGGGTGCTAAATCTTCTTTTTCCTGGGGGAGCTTCACCCCCACTCTGCACTGAGGCCCTGAACCTTCCCCCAAGGCCTGCCTTCACTCTGCTTCTTCCTTCCTTCCCCTGCTCTGTTCCCTCTTCATTTGGCCACAGCACCACTTCTCCACAGCTGATAGTGGTGGGCGGGAGGGAGAGGGGGAGGGAGTGAACAGCTGTGGCTGGTGAGTGCTGAGCAGTCACTATGTTTTTTTCAGTGCCTATCACTGAGTGCTCAGGAGAGACCAGGTCCCTGACTTCAGTTCCAGTGTCCAGCCTCGCCCTGGCCCAGAGTAGCTGGGAAAACCCATTCCAGGGAAAGTCTGGCATCTCTTTTGTAGGCCTGGGCTGGAGAATACTCAGTTGCTCTGTGGGGATGGAGTGTGCACAGTCTGATGTACAGTAGGGGCTGTGATTTGCTCTAATACTCATTCAGGATGGGCTCTGCAGATTTTAGCTACTAAAAGTGAAGTCTCTACTGAGCATATGTGAACTGTGATTTCTTTTCAGGGCTTTAATTATGTGGCTAACTTTGGGTAGATTTTCACAGGAACGGCACATATCATAGAGTTGCAAAAGTTCAAGCTGTTCAGCAAACTGATTCACCAACTGAACCCCCCTGATATTATTGACTGTCATTGTGCATACTACTCATGTTTTTAAAAAAGCTTTTTTTAATAGTTCAACATGTTTTTGAGCAGGGATCTGAAATTGGTAGGAGCACCACCTGCATGGCCCAAATCTGAAGAAGAGCTTTGTATAAGCTCTCTCCCAACAGAAGTTGGTTCCGTAAAAAAATACTGTGTCACCTACTTTTGTGTATTTGTCTCCTAATTTTATCATCAGTTTCAGTCATATCATCTAATATCTTTAATTTCACAGAAGTCCAAAGTATGTTAAATTGTTGGCTCCTAATTTTAAACTTTTGGTCACTGCTAGGCACCTAAGTAAGTGTCCTTATTTTCAGAAGGGCTGAGGACCCACAGCTCTCAATCGACTTCACATTTTAATTCTCTTATTTCACAGAAATGGAAAAGAAGCTGTTGGAGGAGAGAACTTCAAAGCAAAAAGTCGAAAACTGCTTGTTAGAAGTTGAAAAGAGGTGTTCTATGTTGGACTGTGATATCAAACAGTCTCAACAGAAAATAAATGAACTGCTTAAGCAAAAGGATAAACTAAATGAAGATGTAAGTAGCAATTATATTAGCGGTTTTAGTTGTAACCTTTAGGATATTGTAAAATTTATTCCAATTTAAAAGTATTGAGTTTCTTTATTTTGGGCAGTATATGTGAATCTTTACAAATGAAAATTATAGTAAGTGTATCTCCATACTCAGTTCTGTAAATTTTATAGGAAAGATTCCTTAATGTGTAAAGTTTCATTTTTCTGAAGTTTTTCAATATTGTAACACATTTTTCTAAGTTTGTCATGCAGAATGTAAAATTCTGTGAAACTAGGGTGAAAAACTTGTTTATTCTACTTAGAGATAATTTTAGCTATAGAATAATCTTTATATTGAAAAGATATGTACAGCACAAACAGTAGTTCATAGTTAATACAATAAAACCATAGCAAATCAGTCCAACTATAAATACCATTTTAAAAGTTTACAGTATGGGGCTGTAAAATTCCTCTGATGTTAAAAAGTAAAAGAAATTAATTTGTTTTTCAGGTTAAAAACTTGACACTAAAAATAGAACAGGAAACACAAAAGCGCTGCCTCACGCAGAATGACTTGAAGATGCAAACGCAACAAGTCAACACATTGAAAATGTCAGAGAAACAGCTAAAACAAGAGAATAACCATCTTCTGGAAATCAAACTGAGCTTGGAAAAGCAAAATAATGAACTCCGCAAGTAAGTAGAGCTGCATCACGGTTTTATTTAATTAGTTAATTTAAAAAACTCTATTGCATTTTTATCTTACACAAAATTTGAGAGCCATTTATATTTAAAATCCTGGCTATACAATACCAATCGTATCATAGACATTCCTTTAGTATAGAACTTTATTGTTCATGTTGTACAGTAAAACTCCAGTGGTCTGGCATCCAGTGGTCCGGCACCATCTGGAACCCGGAAGTGCTGGACAATTGGAGCTGCTCTGCCCCAGGCTTCCCCGATTCAGCCGCTGCTGAAACTGACCAGTGACTGACTCCAGGAAGCCCGGGGCAGAGCAGCTCTGCCTCGGGCCTCCTGGTCCCCCGATCCAGCCGCTGCTGAAACTGACCAGTGACTGACTCCAGGAAGCCCGGGGCAGAGCACCCCAGCTGCTTTGCCCTGGGCTTCCCGGAGTCAGCCTCTGGTCAGTTTCAGCAGCGACTGAATTGGGGATGCCTGGGGCAGTGCAGCTGGGGTGCTGCCGGGTTGGTCCTGCAGCGCCGAGGGGCGCATCTCCCCGACTCCACTCCAGACCCCTAGTAGCCTCCCTCCCTCTCCCCCCAAATAGTCCAGCATATTTGATAATCCGGCACCCCCTGGGTCCTAAAGGTGCCAGATTATCAGAAGTTTACTGTAGTTGCACCTTCTTTTCCTGGCAGAAATTGAGGCCTTATTGGAATAGGGTATCTACAAATACATAATAAGAAATGGTTGTTCCCTAAAAGAGCTTACAAAAAAACAATCCTGGCCATATGAGTTACATCTGTAGATTCAGTAGAAAATGACTCTGAAATGCTGTTTCCCCAACCTCTGCCAAAAATATATAGTGTGAGGTATAAAGTAACTTTTTAGAATTTTAATGAATTGAAAAGCTGAATTCCTTGAAGTCTGTTGGAATCAGAGTAAAATGACTGCACGTCTCTAAATTTGAAGCTAAAAGTGAATTAATAGACTTAGTAATTAGTACCTTTGTCTTCAATGTGACTTACAAACACTCATCAGTTACCACTAATTTTAAAAAATATTTTATGATTATACTAAAAACAAATTGTAAAGGGGACTTCATTTCATGAGAGATTTGTTGCTGTCTGTAATGAGCAATTTTTGATATCTGGAACAAGAATGGTCTTGTGGCTGAAAAGGCAAGACTAATACAGGAGTCAGAAGGATCTCATTTTTATTCCTGGTTCCTGTGTCACTCAAAGTGAATAAATGTGCTGACTAATGATTAATTGATTGAATTGCTTAACAATGACTGTAGTTAACACATTTTGCATTATGAAGAATACTAAATTGATGTTCAAGGTCCATTTTGCAACTCTCACTTCCCAAATCTATGGAGCTTGGATTGTCACTGTACCTCCGCCCAAATCTATGGAGCTTGGATTGTCACTGTACTGATGACCTCCATGTTGTTAAGAGAAGAGGGCAGTAACTGTTTGCATTAGTAAGGTCTCTCGTTGGCTAGCCCACATAACAGAATTGTCAGTTTAAAAGTCTGCTTACTAACCTTTCGAGATCTGAAGAGATCATAGTATTCATAGCTGTCCAGGCATAATGGGGGGCAAGAGACAATGTGGGGAGTGGGGTCGGAGGAACCCTAAGGCTTTGGTATAGAAGGCCTTGCTTTTGGTGAGGTGATGCTAAAATAAAGAAGAGTTTTATAGATGCATGTGCATACAGAAGCCTTTTGCTTTTATGTAGTTGTTTGTAGTATTTTCACAAGTTTTGCTTACAAGTACTGTTTTATGGTTTTACAGAGAACGTCAGGATGCAGATGGACAAATGAAAGAGCTTCAAGACCAGCTTGAAGCTGAACAGTATTTCTCAGTATGTATTGTTTTTATTTTATCAATCCGGCCTTTAAGGAGCTGAAAATGATACCATCTAAGTTAGATGTACAGTTGCTTCACAATAACTTGGCAGATATCTTTTAGTGAACAGTCCACAAACATTAATATAGGCTGAAATTTGTTCACAAAGTATTCTACAAATACTTGTGGAAAAGTAGGGTCTACTATGCAGTGCGTAAACAGGAAGAAAAGGATTCAATTTCTCATGTAATTAATTTGCCAGCTTAAAATAATAAAAATCCTTAAAAAATGATGCGTTTCTGTGGGTGATCAGCTTTGCACACAGGCAAATAATTCTTGATTGTTAATTATGTTTCTATCAAACAGGTATGATAGCTTATACATACCAATGTCTTAGTTACAGATTTGGAAAGACTACTTTTTCCAAGTATTTTAATTAGTTATGTTGCAATAAAAAGAAACTTTGAAAAAGCATATAATAATATAATATATGGAGATGAACCTGTCTCATAGAACTGAAAGGGACCTTGAGTGGTCATTGAGTCCAATCCCTCGCCCTCACAGCATGACCAAGTACCATCCCTGACAAATTTGCCCCAGATCCCTAAATGGCCCCCTCAAGGATTGAGCACACAACCCTGGGGTTAGCAGGCCAATGCTCAAACCACTGAGCTATCCCATATCCCCTCTGCTGAGCTATCCCATATACATGTGTATGTGTGGTGCATAAATTGTACATGCATACACACTTTGAAACCTACTTGTGTGAGGATAGCACGCACATTTATGGAGGAATGTATTAGCAGCTGGAGGATTTAAATGTGCTCTCTTTTCCTCACTAGCTGGGATTTAGGGCGATAGGAAGTATGGTTGCCTTAAGTCAGGGGTAAGAGGCTATGTCTACACTGCACCGTAGTTCAAAATAAGGTACGCAATTTGAGCTATGCAAATTGCATATCTTATTTAGATTTTATTTCAAAATAGCTTATTTTGTAATTTGGTGCTGTCTACACAGTGCCAAATTTTTAAATAACCCACTATTCTAAAATGTCCCTTATTCCTTGTGGAATGAGGTTTACAGGGATGTCAGAATAGAAAGCATGAAATAACGGGCTTGCTGTTAAGATGCGGGATAGCTATTTTGGAATACTCTGCTATCCCGAAATAGTGTTGCAGTGTAGACATAGACAGAGAGAAAAGACACTCCCGTGCTTGGCATTTTATTAAAGATTTTTGTATTTAGTGTGATTTTTGTCCCATTCATTTAGATATTCCTTAAACTAAAATATGCAAGTCATTATTCTTTCCCTTGTTTAAAACTCTAGACTTTGTACAAGACCCAAGTTCGTGAGCTTAAAGAGGAGTGTGAAGAAAAGACTAAACTTTGTAAAGAAATTCAGCAAAAGATACAGGAGTTACAAGATGAGAGGTGAGAGTTTGCCACTTACTTGGATATGTTCAGAAAAATGAGGTTATTTATCTGAGTTGTAAAAGGCTTTCATTTAACTTCTGAATTATGTATTTATCACTAATTTTCAGAGACTCTTTGGCTGCACAACTTGAGATCACTTTGACAAAAGCTGATTCAGAGCAACTTGCTCGCTCCATTGCAGAAGAACAGTACTCTGATTTGGAAAAAGAGAAGATCATGAAAGAATTGGAGATCAAAGAGATGATGGCAAGGCATAAGCAAGAACTTACTGAGAAAGATGCTACCATAGGATCTGTGAGTAATCTGTATCATAACTCCTGTGGTATATTTTTATTATGTGCTAAAAGTTCTTCAAATGTATCTTTGTTATAATGATTAGAGTCTGATAGAAATATGTAGCTTGAAAAAATGTTAGAGTTTTGTCCAAGTAGATTGAGTTAAGCAGCATCATATCATGAATTTCTTTTTTTTTTTTTTTAACCACTACATGGTTAATATTGTTTAATTAAAATTTAGCATTGTTTCCAATACTAAGACACATTTTCTGTGGACGTATTTTTCACATCTGGATTACAATATAATTATTTCCATATTTTGATGTATGGAAACAAAACGGAGAAGTATATGTATATTCAGTTGTGTATAAAATCTATGTATGATGGTACAGTTTATGTTTCTATAATTAAGATTGTCATGTTTTCTATTCTAAATCATATTTTTTCAGATATGTATAGTTCTAAAACATGACACCCTAGGAATGGATTCCTTTGTCTAGAAAACCTTTGTGGCTGGAGGGATTCACTTAACAGTGTAGTTTAATGGGTTCTAGTAGGCATTCAAGACTTTCTAATAAGTATTCAAGGCATTCTAATAGCTTGGTCTCGAATGCCTATTAGAAAGCCTAAGTCCCCAATATACAATTTTTGACAATTTTGTTATTTTGAATGATCGCTTAGAAGCATCATTAGGCAATAGTTATATTTTCAATGTATGCATTTTTGTTTAAATTACGTTTTGCTACATATTTCCATACTGATATTGTGCCTGTGCCTTCTGTGGATAAATCTGTTACCAAATATAGACCTAAACAAAAAAGGTATCAACGTGTTTGGGTAGTATCTGGACTTCTGGTGACAGAAGAGCCCTCCCAGCCCTGTAATAGAGGCAGCTTAGCCGTCCTCTCCTTAAGTTTCTCGAATGGGCTGTAAACAACCTCAGGAAGATTTCAAAACTGTTAGCTAGTTCCAAAGAAAAGATCAAGGCCTGCAAACTCTGTATCCCCCTGAAAATAATATGCTAAACATATAGGTAGAGGCTGCCCTTTCTGCCCTTCTTTAGGGTCCTCTGGAGAGCAAGGAGCAGCACGAGCTGCAGGCACCCTCAATTAAGAACTGACTTCCTTGTAGTGTTGCATTAATTCTTAGTCTCATCCCACAATATGGAGCCACAACCCACTTCATCTTTCATAATCAGTATTCATGTGGTCTACATTTTGCATCAACTGCTGTTGATTCCATCACTGGTACCATTACCTCTTTTCCCTCCTTGAAATTTGTCTTTAGTTTCAACCCCTAGCTTCCACGTGCATCCTCTGAATCTTTACCTCCACTGTGTTCCTCACATAGGCCTTGCCTTTCTCCTGACCTGCCCCTCCTTACTACACCCACTTTCTGTGCTTCAGTTCCATCACCTCTCTCCAGATCTCTTGTATCATTATCTAAAATCTGCCTCCTTTTCCTCCTCCACACTTCTGAAATCACCATTAAACCTGATGATTTATAGCCATACACTTTTCTATCCCTACCAGTCTTAAACTCAAACCCTTTCCTTCAAAATCTATGGAATGCCTGCTCTGTTTTGGAAGAACGTCACTTCAGCATATCATAGAATATTAGGACTGGAAGGGACCTTGAGAGGTCATGGAGTCCAGTCCCCTGCCCTCATGGCAGGACCTAGTACTGTCTAGACCATCCCTGATAGACATTTATCTAACCTGCTCTTAAATATCTCCAGAGATGGAGATTCTACAACCTCCCTAGGCAACTTATTCCAGTGCTTAACCACCCTCACAGTTAGGAATTCTTTACTAATGTCCAGCCTAAACCTCCCTTGCTGCAGTTTGAGCCCATTGCTTCTAGTTCTATCCTCAGAGGCCAAGGAGAACAATTTTTCTCCCTCCTCCTTGTGATACCGTTTTAGATATCTGAAAACAACTATCATGTCCCCTCTCAATATTCTCTTTCCCAGACTAAACAAGCCCAATTCTTTCAGTATTCCTTCATAGGTCATGTTCTCTAGACCTTTAATCGTTGTTATTGCTCTTCTCTGGACCTTCTCCAATTTCTCCATATCTTTCTTGAAATGTAGTGCCCAGAACTGGACACAATACTCCAACTGAGGCCTAATCAGCGCAGAGTAGAGTGGAAGAATGACTTTTCATGTCTTCCTCACAACACACCTGTTAATGCATCCTAGAATCATGTTTCCTTTTTTTGCAACAGTGTCACACTGTTGACTCATATTTAGCTTGTGGTCCACTATAATCCCTTTCTGCCATACTCCTTCCTATCAGTGGCTTCCCAGTCTATTTGTGTGAAACTGATGGTTTCACATTTGTACTTTGTGTAGAATTTCTGTACTTTGCATTTGTCCTTATTAAACTTCATCCTGTTTAACTCAGACCATTTCCCCAGTTTGTCCAGATCATTTTTAATTATGACCCTATCCTAGAAAGCAGTTGCAAACCATGCCAGCTTGGTCTCATCTTCAGACTTAATAAGCGTACTCTCTATGCCAATATCTAAATTGTTGATGAAAATATTGAATAGAACTGGTCCCAAAACAGACCTCTGCGGAACCCCACTTGTTATACCTTTCCAGCAGGATTGTGGACCGTTAATAACTACTCTCTGAGAATGGTTATCCAGCCAGTTATGCACCCACCTTATAGTGGCCCCATCTAAGGTGTATTTGCCTAGTTTATTGATGATAATATCATGCGAGACCGTATCAAATACCTTACTAAAGTCTAGGTATACCACATCCACCGCTTCTCCCTTATCCATAAGACTTGTTTTCCTATCAAAGAAAGCTATCAGGTTGGTTTGACATGATTTGTTCTTTACAAATCCATGCTGCCTTCCCTATCACCTTCTTATCTTTCCTGGCACAGAAGTTAAACTGACTGGTCTGTAGTTTCCTGGGTTGTTCTTAGTTCCCTTTTTATAGATTGGTGCTATATTTGCCCCCTTTCCAGTCTTCTGGAATCTCTCCTGTCTTTCATGATTTTCCAAAGATGATAGCTAAAGGCTCAGATAACTCCTCTCTCAGCTCCTTGAGTATTCTAAGATGAATTTTATCAGGCCTCGGTGACTTGCGGACATCTAACTTTTCTAAATGATTTTTAACTTGTTCTTTTTTTTATTTTATCCTCTAAACCTACCCCCTTTCCACTAGCATTCACTAGGTTAGTCAATCCTTCAGACTTCTTGGTGAAGACAGAAACGAAGAAGTCATTAAGCATCATCTCTGACACTTCCAAGTTTCCTGTTACTGTTTCTCCCTCCTCACTGAGCATTCGGTGTACCCTCTCCTTGGTCTTCCTCTTGCTTCTAATATATTTATAGAATGTTTTCTTGTTTCCTTTTATGCCTGTAAGTAGTTTGAACTCGTTTTGTGCCTTTGCCTTTGTAATCTTGCCCCTGCATTCCTGTATTGTTTGCCTATATTCATCCTTTGTAATTTGTCCTTGGTGTGTGTGTGGGGGGGGGTGGTTTGGTTGGGTTTTTTTTGTGACTCCTTTTTTATTTTTAGATCATGCAAGATCTCCTGTTTAAGCCAAGACGGTCTTTTGCCATATTTTTTATCTTTCCTTCACAGTGGAATAGCTTGCATTTGGGCACTTAATAACGTTCCTTTGAAAAACTGCCCCTCTCCTCAGTTGTTTTCCTCTCAGTCTTGCTTCCCATGGGACCTTACCTACCAGCTCTCTGAGCTTACCAAAATCTGCCTTCCTGAAATCCATTGTCTCTAGTTTGCTGTTCTCCCTTCTACCTTTCCTTAGAATCATGAACTCTATGATTTCATGATCACTTTCACCCAAACTGCCTTCCACTTTCAAATTTTCAACCAGTTCTTCCCTATCTGTTAAAATCAAATCTAGGACAGCTTCCCCCCTAGTAGTTTTTTCAACCTTCTGAAATAAAAAGTTGTTTGCAATGCAGTCCAAGAACTTATTGGATAATCTGTGTCAGTTTCCCAACACATGTGTGGATAGTTGAAGTCCCCCATCACCACCAAATCCTGCACTTTGGATAATTTTGTTAGTTGTTTAAAAAAAGCATCATCCATCTCTTTGGCCTGGGTAAGTGGCCTGTAGTAGACTCCTAGCATGACATCACCCTTGTTATTGACCCCTTTTAGCCTAACCCAGAGACTCTCAACACGTTTGTCTCCTATGTCCATCTCCACCTCAGTCCAAGTGTGTACATTATTAATATATAAGGGAACACCTCCTCCCTTTTTTTCCTACCTGTCCTTCCTGAGTAAGCTGTATCCTTCTATACCAATATTCTAATCATGTGTATTATCCCACCAAGTCTCTGTGATGCCAACGATGTCATAGTTGTATTTATTTATTAGCACTTCCAGTTCTTCCTGCTTATTACCCATACTTCTTGCATTTGTATATAGGCATCTAAGATACTCATTTGATCTTGCCCAGTTCTGCCTTCTCCCTCCTTTCTCCCTACTATTATAGCCGACACTCCCTCCCATTTCCAACCCATCTCCCAGGTCTCTTATGTTCTTCATTTACCTGTGGGCTTTGGTCACCTGTCCCCATTGAACCGAGTTTAAAGCCCTCCTCACTGGGTTAGCCAGTCTGTATCCAAATACAGTCTTCCCCTTCCTCGAAGTTGAACGCCATCCCTGCTTAGCAGTCCTTCCTGGAATAGCATCCCATGGTCAAGGAAGCCAAAGTCCTCCTGGCGACACCATCTTCGCAGCCAAGCATTCATCTCCAGGATGCACCTGTCTCTGCCTGGGCCCCTACCTTTGACAGGAAGGACTGAAGAGAATACCACCTGCGCTCCAAACTCCTTCACCCATACTCCCAGAGCCCTGTAGTCACTCTTGATCCGCTCAGTGTCACACCGCTCAGTATCATTAATGCCCATATGAATGAGTAGCATGGGATAGTAGTCAGAGGGCTGGATAATCCTCGACAATGCCTCCATAACATCTCGGATACGGGCCCCCGGCAAGCAGCATACCTCCTGAGATGACATGTTAGGGTGACAGATGGGCACCTCTGTCCCCCTCAGAAGAGAGTTTCCGACCACCACTATCCTACTTTTCCTCCTCGCAGTGGTGGCAAAAGACCTCCCAGCCTTGGGGGTACGAGGCGTCTCCTCCTCTGCTATAAGGGGTGATTCCTTATCTCCTGTATCAAGACGAGCATAATCGTTTCCCAGTACCACAGTGGAAGGGTTCAGAGCAGGGGTGGAGCACTGCCTGCTGCCAGAAGTAACCAACTGCCAGTGTCCACCCTGAACCATCTGCTTCTCCACCAGTAGTGTGTCACCAGTCTTGTGTACTGGGGCAGCTATCTCAACTGTCTCCACATGAATACTGTCCAGGAATTGCTCGTGGATTCAGATGCTCCCCAACCTAGCCACCTCCTCCTGTAGCTCTCTCACATGCTGCCTGAGAGATTCCACCAGCAGGCACCTTTCGCATTGGAGGAGCTCCCCAGCCTGGATTTCAGTAAGTGGGAATTGCAAGCCACAGTCCCTGCAAAACCACACCAGGATCTGGGTAGAGGCATCCATTGTCAGGTGGTCTGTCCAGCTACAGGTGCAGGTGGAGGAGACAGAAGCAGTGCTGGCACAGGTGTTGTAGGTCTTTTTGACAATCGTCGGTCTCCCTGTGTCAAACTCCATGTTAAACTCCCCTGTCTGCAAACTCCTGTCTGCAGACCCCTGATTGTCTTCAGCTTTGTGCTTTTGTTTCTCTGACTCTGCTTATATCGCTGCCCTCTTTCAGCAGACTCGCCTTTAGTTCTCTTTCATTCTAAATATTTGCTACAGTGAACTCTGTTCCTCCTTTTCAGTTCCTCCATACATAGCACACAAAACTTGCACATTCTCTGTTTTGAAGTCTCACCTTCAGATGGTTGTAATTTTTCATGCATTCTACCAAGTCCTGAGCTTATTAGTGTCTTGATTTTGATGGCAGACTATTCCTATTCATTTTTGCCATGTCTTACAGCCTTTACATAATTATTTATTTTGCTCCTTCTCTCTCGTCCCTGTCCCCACATACCTTTGCTTGCTCATTCTCTGTGCCTCCCATTTCTCTTCCTGCTCCAAATCCTCTCTTCCTTCACTTTGATCTAATTCTGATATATTTTCCTTCTTTCCAGTAAACCAGTCATTTGTTACATTATTTTTTTGTTGTGTAGTAATACATAGTTTTGTGTTTTGTTTTGTTTTTAGCTAGAGGAAGCCAATAGGACACTAACGAGTGATGTGGCTAATCTTGCTAATGAGAAAGAAGAACTGAATAATAAGCTGAAAGAAGTTCAAGAACGTGAGTTTTCACTGAACAACTTGAATTTAATTTGAAAAAACTTTTATCATCAAAAAGTGTACCATTAATGCTCTAATTAGCCATGACAGATTTCTTATTGCCTTATTACAGAAATTGCAAGACTAAAAGAGGAAGAAACAAATATAATTGTTGTTAAAACTCAGTTTGAGAAGCAATTGTTGAATGAGAGAACACTGAAAACTCAGGTAAATGTAAAAGAATGAGCAGATTATCACGATAATTGGAACAATATACTATACTGTTCATGCAGGAGATCACATTTTTAGATGGAATGGTTCTTTCCTTTGTAAATCATCTTTATGTACTCGTTGAAGTCTGGAAACAATTATTATGTCCTTAGACTTTTTTTACTAAACCATGTTAGATTAGGAAAACTTGCACACTGTGGGTACAGACGTATAATATAGATACATCGTTCTTGAATAAAACAACTTATCCCAATGTGATTTAGCCCATTGTAAATCTCTAATCAAGGTAAATCCTTTATTTTGATTCAGAGAATCTACTTTTGACATGTATTTTGCTTATGACTAAGTTTGATTTAATTTTATTGTTAGCAATTTCAAATTACCTTCTTCGGTGTTTTTCATCTTTTCCTGAAGCATCTAGCAATAAACTCTGCCAAAGTTAGGATACTAAACGTTGTGCTCCTTCATTGTGCTGTAGATATTTAGAGGAATATTAGACATTCCAATTAAAAGTTGTATATGGCTTCTAACTAATTGGGGCTAACTTTAAAAAAAAAAAAAAAAGAGAGAGAGAGAGAGATTGATCCAGAGATTTAAATTGGTATTTCATTTAGATGGGCACTCACAAAGATTTTTGAATTCATATATAAAATATCTTAAGTTAAGCTAATCATGGATGGAGAGATTACTTTATTTGTAGCTATTTATCTATGGGAGCTTTATTGTGTGTTCTGTGTTCTTTTTGTTTGTTTGTTTTTCAAGGCTGTCAACAAGTTGGCTGAGATCATGAATCGGAAGAATCCAGTCAAACGTGGAGCTGACACTGATGTGCGGAGGAAAGAAAAGGAAAATAGGAAACTGCACATGGAACTGAAATCTGAGCGTGAAAAGTTAACCCAGATGATGATTAAATATCAGAAGGAGATCAATGAAATGCAGGCAGTAAGAAGTGAATTTGTAGCAATAAAAATGTTCTTAAATTTTACTTAATTTTAAACCCGGTTTCAAATGATTATTTCAAGATGTCATATTTATTCATTCATTTTCTATACCTTAAGGATGACCCAGCTAAAAAAATTAAGTAGTTGTGCATGTCAAGATTGGTTGTGAAGACCTCATTCCACCAAGAAAAATACTGTAAATAAGAAATTATAGGGTATAACAATAATACAAAAAGGCAAACCTTTTCAAATAATTTTCACAGCAAATAGCAGAGGAGAGCCAGATACGAATCGAACTGCAGATGACACTTGATAGCAAAGATAGCGACATTGAACAACTTCGCTCACAGCTCCAGTCAATACATATTGGGCTAGATACCACCAGCATTGGCAGTGGACCTGGAGATGCTGAAGCAGATGATGGATTCCCTGGTATGATTTGTTCATTAATATTCCCATTTTTATTAGTTTTATAGTGTATTATCATGGAAATCAAACTATTAAATGACCTTATTATTCTGTGACTTCCTTGGTTTTTCTGTATTTCCTTATACCTTTTCAGTAGTCTGATAGCACTTAATATCCATGCACTAACTGAAACAATCTTTATTTTCTCTATACTTAATTCTTTTTAAATGATGTTTTTAGAAAAAGTTCATTCAATTTTTTAAGAAATCAAAGATTACATTTTTCTCTCATTGAACTAACAATTTTTTCTCTTGATTGATGAATACGAAATCAAAGATTACATTTTTCTCTCATTGAACTAACAATTTTTTCTCTTGATTGATGTTTTCATTTTGTGAATACTGCATTAAATGATAAAATATAAAAACTAATATTCTCTTTTTAGTGTTTCTGTTTTAACTATTCTGTCCTTTTTCCTCCTTTGTGCTGGATGCTTAGTCCATATCACTCAATCCCATACTATGGAATCAATGTCTCTTACATACCAGCATTCTTCTACCTCTGTCAGTATTGCCACTAAGCCTTCCAGTTCTCACATGCTTCTCGACTCTGATTCTGACTCAGAGGAAGAACCATTGTCTTGTGCACACATCCCTTCTGAACCTGATAGCACAGGTGACATTCCTGAAACCATTTGGTGCATTTATGTTTTGTTCTAACTCTGCCCTCTTGGCCTTTTTTTTAAATAACTAACACTATTTTCAAAAGCACTGGCAGCGCAAGTTGTAATCCGGAGCATATTAAAGAGAATGTTGCATGAACAAAGAATTGGCTTGTGTTTCAGTTACAACCAAATTTTAGATCGATAGTTTAAAAACAGTCATTTTGCAGCAGGCTTTGATAAGGTGATTGTATTGCTATATGTTCAAAGTGGTCTCTATGCAAGGTCTGTGCTAAACTTTATGCGCCTCTGAGTTTTGGTTTATCCAAAATCTTACGTGAGTATTCTAGTTGAGCAATTAAATATTCCAGACTAATTGACTATCTAACAGTTCACCTTATCAGTACAAATACTGTTTGCCTATTCAAATCCAGTTTTGGTGTGACCAAATTCTTTCTGTAAAGTTGGATGTCACATGATTAAAACACTAAAACTTGGAGGCTTGTTTAGAAAAGATTGGTCCCTAAAACGTAAGATTTGTGTGTTCATTATGGATCTTTGTTGTCATTAAAGGCAGAAACAAGCTAATAAAATGTACTTTTTCCAGCAGCAAGAAGAAAATAATCCTTTGTGGAGAAAGATAGCTCTTTTTATAAACATATGTTATATATATTATAACTGTTTATATGTGAGTGTACACATACTCTATAGATCAACCCTCCTAGTACTGAAGTGAGGTTTTTTTTTACCATAGTGACATTTAATATCTCCCTAAAGATTCCTTTGATTATGGAGGGTTTTTTTAATTTAAATTTCAATACATGGATCAGTTTTATTTTGGAATGTTATCAGCACATTGTCAGCTGAGGTAAGGATGAAATAGATTCTTTAGATTCTTTATTTTCCCAAAGTGCATAATTTTTGTGTTCTGATGCTCCTTATAAAAGAAACACAAAGTATATTTTGGTGTCTCTTCTTTCTAGATGCTGTTACAATTTCTTTACTTTTATCCCCGGACACTTGTCAGATCAGTAGGGGTTTCAGAGTTCAGACTGAATTAGACTATCTTTAAGAAATGTTTAATTATATCTGACTTCAGTAAATAAAATCTGTTTCCTTTCTCATAAGAAGGCAGGGCTGGGAAAAAGGTCTGAGAGAAAACAAGGTTTATGTCCATTAAGCACACAGGCAAATCTAAGATGCTATGAAGGTGATTTCCTAGACAATACATTCTCTTCTGTTTTGTCCCTGCTACCAAACTAAGGATTAAGTTGTGGAGAAACTAGATTCTCATCCTGTACCTGTCCCCAGACTAAGGATGCTGTTTAAGAGGAGAGACACCAGATTCTCATATTTCTATTACTATATACGCTATACGGATACACAACAACAGAGGCAGGCAGGTGAATGCTTTTGCAGATTCACTGAGAGATTTTTTTTTAACTCCTTGAGCTGTTCCTGGTAGGATCCAGCCAACCCTAGCTTCTCCTCGCAATTCCTTTTTCTGGGGATGGCTGAATGTTTTTCATGAGTACCTTTTCTCCTGTTCTTGTCTGTGAGAAGAGTTAGGGGTAGAGAGCATTTGGCCTGTATGGGGTGGAGTCAGTTTTAGCAGCAAACTCAATGAAGAGTATTTAAACTATACAGTTGCACTGACAACAGGTAAAGAACAATTGCCTGTTGCTTTTTTTGTTGTCTTAATGAAAATTGGGTGGACTTGACTACTGTCTCCCCTCAAGCTGAATTCTTAGAGGTTGGAAAGGTGAGGAGTATGTAAATGTTTCTCCTTTAGTGAATAGGTTCTTTTCATGCTGGGGATCAGTATTCTGGTATCAGTCAGTGTGAGAGTAGCTCCAGGCAAACCCACTAAGACCATGAAAAGTCATATGTCAGGCTCTGAAGAGCCACAGGTGATGCTAGAGGCATGAGTTGTGCACCACTTAATTGACTGCTGAAGATTTAAATTTTCATTATTATTTAATATGCCAGACATATGAGGCAATGTGCTTCCCATGTTATGAATGTAAAATCCCATTTAATCACTTAACTCAGGGGTTATCAAACTTTGTGATACCACGACCCCCCTCTAAGTTGCTCACCCCCCCGGAGGACCCACAGTTTGAGAAACGCGGACTTAACTGGCTAAACATTTTGTTTAACCGGTTAAACGCTTAAACAGGGAGTAGATGGGCTGCAATGCCCACCCCTCGCTGGTGGCGGGGACTTCTCCGTCTGGACTGGAGTGCCTTTGCCTGTGGCAAGCTCCACTAGCTGGGCTGGTTCCCTACCGGTTAACCAGTAACCGTTCCCATCCCTTTCCCATATACTTGATGTGTGTATTAAAATGTGTGTCCTCATTAAAGTCAACAGCAAACAAACAAATATACTCTAAAGACAGTGTATACATCATACTAGATAATCTTTCTCCCTCCCTTCTCTTCTTCCTAACCTTTCTCTCCACTGTGCTGCGGCTTCTGTAACTTTATCTTTTCATTATTCAATTCCCATTTATACACACAGAAATAATTTCACCACCTGCTTAAAAGGAATCAGTGTCTACAGGACTAGGGGATGTTAAAATTTCATACATAGGCTAGAACAAGATGCCCGTGTTAAAATGAAATGTTTTAGAACTTTGAATTTAAAGTTCCTGTGCAGAGACTGTGCTCTATAAGTATTATCTCTTTTGATATAAATAATCAGAAAGCAATTATTGTGGGTAGGGCAGTTCTATCTAATACTATTTACCTAACAAATCAGACAAATTCTTATCTTCAACTAGTTTGTAAGCTTGGGCAGGGAAATTTTGTGTGTTGATACAGTGCCTCGCACAGTGGGAGCATGATCTTGATTGATCTTTGGTTTTTATCACATAACAAATTAAGGATGTTAAATTGCAGTCAATCAGCTAATCAAATAGTCGATGGAATTTCCATTTACTACTCAATTAGTCGATGAGGGGGGCTCGTCTCCTACTGCATTTAAACTGCAGAGCTACAGCAGGGTTAGCTCTTGGGGTGGCATGAGCTGGGACTAAGCAGTCCCTGCTACGCTGGCCCTGGGAGCTAACCCTGCTGCCACTCTGCCTTTAAATGTAGCAAAAGCCCTGGGCATTACTACATTTAAAAGTCAGGGCTGCAACATGGTTAACTCTTGGGACTGGCGTGAGCTGAGACTGAACAGTCCCGGTTCGCACCGGCTTTGGGACTGTTGCACCTCTGTCTCCCCTGACCTCCACCCGACCTGCACTGTGGAGACGGCTTCCCCCAGCACCGACTCCTACTTCCCCCCCTTCCCTTGCTGCCTGTGACACAGAGGCAGCAAGGGGCAGGGGGAAGCGAGTAGTCGATTTGACTGGCCAATAAGCATATGTTCATCTGGTAGTTGACTAGTCGACAACTCTCTTACCATCCCTATAACGAATATTAAATTACAATTGAGATGTCAAGGCTTACTGTATGTAAGGCTATTTTGAAATCTTCAGAGAAAAGATGGTATAAAATATGTTTGTTGTGTGAAACTAGCTGCAAAAGCTATTTCGTATTAAGTGTTTCAGTGAAAATGTATGGAATGCAGTAAAGGCAAAAGGCGCAGCCAAAGGTGACTTATTGTTACTGGTGAGAAAGCTGTGATGATTTACATGGGTTCTGAGAAAAAGGTTGTAGAGCAATTATAATGCCAAAACTCTTCAGATTTAGCTATTGCTGTTATTTGAGAAAATAGTCAATTTTATTTATAACTCTCCGTAACTCCCACAGTATATTAATATTTGAGGTAAATTTATTGAATTTGTATAATATATATGAAGTATGTATTAAATAAATTAGTTTACAGGATGCAAAATACATATTTGATTGTGTATTCATATTTAGAAGTTTTTATTTAAAACAATGTATTCTGTACGAATGTTTTCACACAGACAATTTTAGGTCTGGAGACTATTAATAATTTTAAATGCCTATAATTATTTAATGTCTTGTCTTATTTTTACTAAAAAGAATGCATGTGTGCTAGCATAGTTTAATTGGTTAGACATTGGCTCTTTTTTCCTAGTCTGAATGATTAGTTTTTGAGGTGCATTATTTGCTAATAATGACTGTGCTTTTTGGTCCCTGAAAAATGTTCTGTGAAAAATCTTGCAAGGAGTTTTGCTTATCAGGTTATGGTATTTGTATGTCTGCCTTATTGTTTCTAAATACTGTAAAGGGTATTTCACATGTCCAGTGGTCTCAGATGAATGTGTGTTCTTTAAATACTTACTTTAATATTTCATTTGCAGAATCAAGATTAGAGGGTTGGTTATCACTACCTGTCCGAAACAACACTAAGAAATTTGGATGGGTGAAAAAGGTGAGAATAAACCACTGACCTGTACTTAACAAATTGCTTTTGTACTAAAAGTTGCAGCTTTTTAAAGGTGTGTGACTTGTTTCTTACATATATGTTCTATCTAGTAAGTCTTGAAGTTAGTCTGTGCATAAATCACTGTTGACAGGCCTGAGTCTGTTAGGTCAGAGGACAGATGGAAGTAGACATTTTTTATGACTCCGTGGTTTATTATTTGGTCATATAACCATCAGGAGTCTGAACAGGATTTCTAAGTCTATGGATTGATATACTCCAAGGCATATGTCCTTGATGTCAGAGAAAGTGCCTTCCTTTTCCTACCAGCATTACCGCTATTTTGTTTTGGTCAGGTTAGTTTCCTACTAGTGTTACCTCTATTTTGCTTTGGTCAGGCTCGTCATCTAGGTGCTGATCCCAACAACACACTAAGATAGGTAGACAATAAATAACTGAATGTCTTCCCTGAACTACCATTGTTTTAGCCTGTGATGTGTTTCAAGCTTCCCTGATGACTTTTTTAATCATAGAATAGGTACAGCATAAGTGAGGATGGTGTCAGCTCTCTCTCCTTACACTCTAAATATGCCTATTCTGGGCAACTTTTAGTGTGAGAGATTTTCTGCTCTGTACTCAGTCTTTGGCTTCTTTATTGAGATTATCCAAAAAAGTGCTAACTCTAATAATTTTTGTGAATGGAAAACCTGTTCACTATCAATAGGACCAGTCTTAGTCAAAATTAGAAACATAGAAACCAAAGGCTTTGTATCCTGTTAGCAGTTCTTCTGGGTTCCATTTTTTGCATCTTTTAAAAATGGGTGTTTAAAAATATAAACATAAAATAGATGTTTATAAATATAAAAATATAAAGGTAACTTGTTACCAAATTATTGCATCTTAAGTTATTGTGATGTCAAGTATGACTTGCTTTGTGTTCATGTAGTGGATCCAAACTACTAAGCTGCTATTGTCCATTGAATAATAATAAAATTATGCAAGTGTGTTGTAAAAATATTTACATGACAAATAAATATTTGAGATAAAACCTGTATTTTAAGAACTATGTTAATACCCATGTATCTTTTTTTTTTTAACAGTATGTTATTGTAAGCAGTAAGAAGATTCTGTTCTATGATAGTGAACAAGATAAAGAACATTCTAACCCCTACATGGTTTTAGATATTGAGTAAGTATTATTAAAAAAGATTGTGATACACATTACTTTGGTTAACTTTCAGATGAACATTAGCAGATGACTTTGAAAAGAAAACCGCTTTAGAAAATACTTTTGAGAGCTGATAGTGAGTCTGACATATGTTATTTAAACTGCAGTTTGAAATCAGTTGGTGTATGTCTGACTGCCCGCTTGGCCAACACACTGGGGACTGATCTATAGACCGCCAGAATTAAGAACTATAACAACTCCTATCCTGTACAAATTGGCACAAAGTGGGGAAACTGTATCACACACTTGGTTTTGGGATACAAGTTAGGTACATTAACATAAGAATGGCCGTACTGGGTAAGACCAGAGGACTGTCTATCCCAGTGTCTTATCTTCCAACAGTGACCAATGCCAGATGCTTCATAGAGAATGAATGGAACACATAATCAAGTGATCCATCCCTTGTCCATTCCCAGTTTCTGGCAAATGGCACGCAGAGGCAAGCAACACTCAGAGCATAGTGTTGCATCCGTGATCATCTTGGCTAATAGCCATTGATGGACCTAGTTCTTTTTTGAACCCCATTATAGTTTTGCCTTCACCTCATGCCCTGGCAACAGGTTCCACAGATGAACTGTGCTTTTGGAAGAAATACTTCCTTTTGTTTGTTTTAGACCTGCTGGCTATTTATTTCATTGAGTGACCATTGGTTCTTGTGTACAGGCAGTCCCCGGGTTACATACAAGATAGGGACTGTAGGTTTGTTCTTAAGTTGAATTTGTATGCAAGTCGGAACTGGTACATATTGTAGGGGAAACTCTAGCCAAACATTTCTCCAGAGCTCAGTTTTATTCTCCCACACCTCACTTCCCTCAGTCCTTTATTCTCAAGCTGAGGTGTCTGCTGAGAAAAGCTGCTCCGCGTTTCCCTGGTCTGCTGGGGGGAAGCAGCTAGTGCGGGGTTGCCTCACCCCGTTTGTAAGTAGGGATCCGATGTAAGTCGGATCCATGTAACCCGGGGACTGCCTATATATGTGAAGGAGTAAATAATGCTTCCTTATTCACTTTCTCCATTCCAGTTAAGATTTTATAGATCTCTATCATATCTCCTCTTAGTTGCCTCTTTTCCAAGCTAAAAAGTCCCAATCTTTTTAATCTCTCTTCTTGCGGAAGTTGTTCCATACTTCTTCATCATTTGTGTTCCCCTTTACTATATCTCTTTTTTGAGATGGGGTAACCAGAACTGCACACAGTATTCAAGGTTTGCATGAATGTAAATATATATTATTATATATTTATGTATATATTATCATGTATCCATTTCTTAATTAAGGTTTGGAGATTGATATGCGGAGTTGGGACTAGGAGTTGAATGAAGTGGATTTAGAATTTTGTTTACTGGAAATCTTTACATCGCATTTATATAACTTATTAGCTAGGATACAATGTAATTCCGTAATTAATTGTTCATATTAACTCAGTGCATTTAATAATTAGATAATACTCTCATATCAGATTTAATTATTTTTGTTTTATTTCTTTGAAATCTACTTCTACAGTAAATTGTTCCATGTCCGGCCAGTCACACAGACTGATGTTTACAGAGCAGATTCCAAAGAGATTCCTAGGATATTTCAGGTATATAGTTATAAATTAGTGTTTTTAGGAAAAACTGTTAAAATTCCTTATGCAATTAAATAAAAGATGCTTTCAAAAGGTTTTTTTTATTAAGGATTGCGCAGGTATAAGTGAGTAAATCATATAAATTCTCAGAAAATCTATTCTAACCTGCTCCTAACTTTTATTTCTGGATATTTGTTAACGAAATAATTGCCCTTTACCTACACCATTGTGTACAAATGTTGTGGTTATTTTGTTTTAATTCTAGATTCTGTATGCTAATGAAGGAGAAAGCAAGAAGGAACCAGAATTTCCTGTTGAGCCTCTGGGGGAGAAATCAAATTACATTTGCCACAAGGGACATGAGTTTATACCCACTCTGTATCATTTTCCAACCAACTGTGAGGCATGCATGAAGCCGCTGTGGCACATGTTTAAACCTCCTCCTGCTCTAGAGTGTCGCCGTTGCCATATCAAATGTCACAAAGATCACATGGATAAAAAGGAAGAGATTATAGCACCTTGCAAAGGTAAATAGTAAATAACTGAATAAAGGTATAGTTGCCAGTTAACTACAGGGAATAATTCAGATACATATTTTTAATGATGTGATCTCAGATGAGTTCAAGGTAAAAGGTAGTAACTGCTTGAATACCAGATCTGTGGGTACATATCTGCTGGGCTCTGCTATTGTACGTAGGCTATGCAACCTTGTCATGATTCCCTCAAGGAAGATTAGCTCACTCTGCAGTGCAGTGACATTCAGGCGGCATAAGGACATGTATATCATATACTTTTAGTGCTGTTAGCATCATAAGAGGTGGGCCACCCTAAAAGGCTACAGTACTCACCCAGTGGATTCTGTTGCATTTCAACAGAGATATTAGCGTATATAGCAATACAGATTATGACACTCATAAAAGTTGCTCATTCTGGGCTGGGTTCCATAGTCCTCTGTGCTCAATATCTCTTACGGGCATGAAATGGCAGTAAAAGAATTTGTTTGTTCTCCTATGTAATTGCTACCTCAGGAACATGGGGTATGTCTACACTACAGCGTTATTTCAAAATATCTTATTTCAAAATAATTAATTCGAAATAAGTTATTTTGAAATAGTGCGTCCACACTGAGTGGACGCTGAATTGTATTTAAGGCTGCCCAGAATCAGGTTCGGCTGGTCATCAGGTCAGGGGTTACTTTGTGGGGCTGCTGCCTGAGGCTATCTGAGGCCTGTGCTTAAAGGGACCCCCTCCCTCCCCAGGACATCCGGTTCTCAGGTTTCCCTGCTTGCTTGCCTACCTTGATGAGGGACAGCAAAGCATTTTGTCTCTGCATGCTCTGGTTGCCCTCACTCGGGACAACACAGCACTCTGCAACATGGAACCAGAGCTGCCCCTGGGCACGTTGGACGCATTGCTGCGAGCCTGGCTGCACTTTCTGCAGGCTGCCATCCGGGAGGTCCCTCGCGGGGCTGTCAGTATCCAGGAGGCCCTGCGGGATAGCTTCCACCCCAATAAGCACTAAGAGCCTCCCTGGTCTGCCCCACTGGGGGCTTGTGCCTCATTCCTCCCTCACGTCCTTCCACTTACCCCTCCCTAACCCCCCTTCCTGTTGACATATAAAATACAAGTATTTTCATGAACACAAACTCTCTTTATTTAACAAAACGGGGGGGGCGGGAAGGAGTGAAACTCTGGTAACACTGGGGAAAGGAGGGTGGGAGAGGGGAGGGGGAAAACCTGGGAGGAGGGAGCTAGAAGCGGGGAGCAAGGGGAAGAAGGGGGAGGGGAAGCTTAGGGTTGGGGGTCTCGCTGGACCAACTTGATTTTCATGCATACCTTCTCCAGGGTTCTCATGTGGTCTTTGGTGGCCAGGCTGGCAGCTATTCTGCCATAGATGGCCGCATTTCTCTGTCTAGTGTGGAGATCATGGACGTTGGGGGCATCTCCCCCCAAACCTGAATAAGGTCCATGATCTCCACCATGGACCAGGAAGGCACCCCCCTTCTCCAGGCCCTGGCAGGCTCCTGGCAGCTGGCAGACTGCTCCTGGGGAGCGGTGGAGGGCTGGCTGCCAGTGAGTTGCTGGCTCATGTTTTGGTGCCACTGGGTCAGGGGCAGTGACTGCTGGCTCTGGGCTGGCAAGCTCGGAGCTAACACAGGCACTGTGGCCAGAGTCAACCCCTTTAAGGGCTCGAGGGAGAGGAGTGTTCTTGGTTGAGGCTAGAGTGGCCACCAGGGCACCCTGGGAAGGTTGGAGGCCCCCTATTTCGATACAAGTGTCTACACAGCACTTATTCCGAAATAGGTATTTCGAATTTGGTGTTATTCCTCGTGGAATGAGGTTTACCAAATTCGAAATAAGCACTCCGCTATTTCGAATTAATTTTGAAATAGCGGTTTGGCTGCGTAGATGCTAATAAAGTTATTTCGAAATAACAGCTGTTATTTTGAAATAACTTTGCTGTGTAGACATACCCATGGAGAATAATTGTCTCCTTATCCTCCAAAGCAGTGTTTCTCAAAGTGGTCTGCAGGCCCCCTTCCCGTTGTTCCCCTTGACTGGAAACAATGAAACAGAGCCAACGAGAGCTTCAAGGCTCCTCAGCTACGGACCCTTTAGGTGCAGGCCCCCCAAAGTGGTGCAGGCCGACTAGCAGCTTTCTCAAAATGGGCATGCGGAACACTTTGAAAAACACTGCTCCAAAGGGAAGAAATTGGAAGGGGGTGCAGACTGTGGATAGATTTAGGCTCCTTTGGAGGAAAAGTTAAATGTAGACTCAAAGTTAGCACTGTGATCATGGCAGTCCAACTAGCAGCTTTATACTGGGTTTTTATTGTACCACTTGACTTCCAGTCTCTGCAATTTATGAGAGCCCAGGGATCTGGCCATTGGTTTTTAAGGTGAACTCACATTAAAAAATAATGATAATTTTGTTTTCAAATTTCTCTTACAGTATATTATGATATTTCAACTGCAAAGAATCTACTACTCTTAGCTAATTCTATGGAGGAACAACAGAAATGGGTGAGCCGATTGGTGAAAAAAATTCCCAAAAAGCCTCCAGCACCTGATCCCTTTGCTCGATCTTCTCCTAGAACTTCCATGAAGGTACAGCCAAATCAGTCTATAAGACGGCCAAGCCGACAGCTTCCTCCAAACAAACCAAGGTAACACTAAAGTTGCTGTTAAAGACGATAACTTAGTTTCTCATTGTGATACATTGTTATGGGCAAATGAAGAACATTTTTTGTTTCCTTCTGTATTTATACTATTACTAGTGAAATGTGAGCTCATCCTGTCATCTTTTGTGAAATCGGGTATACAAAATATTAAGAAAGCTATGTAAGGAAGCATGTTTCTTGTTCTTATTTGAATTAGCCTATCACTGAATTAAATCTACTGTATGTATTATAAGAAGAACTCACCTGTGTGTGATGTTGCTTGATGCTTCACATTCTCAGAACCAGTTTTCAGTTGCTTACAATTTTGAGAAATGTTAACCATTTGGACTAAAATTCCTGTGCCAAATGTCTTGGGAACATTGCAGTGAAAATAGTTCCTCCCTCTTTCTTGAGAATTAGATTAGGGAAAACATGTTTCTCTGATGTTATAAAGTTTTTAAAGGTATTTGATTAAGAAGTAATAGTGCCTCAATGCTTTGGAGCAGGGAATTTAAATCTGTTAATGTTGGTTGCTTTTGTGTCAGGAATGTGCTTTTTGCTGTCCATAGGTGAGGGAGAACACCCAAATTTGGGCAATTTACAGCCTTTCAAAAATTCTGAGGCCACATATGCTCAGTAGAGTTGTTAAGTTAAATTTTCTGAAGATTCTGTCTTCATTGAACATATTGCACCTCACGGTTATAGAGTCTGAGTAAGATTTTTCCTTGCAGATACTCCTACAAGTGGTTATGGTTCTTTTGTATTTTCATTGATTCTGTGAAAGCATCCAAAAACTAGGCAGTATAGAGGAGGAGCCATGTCACTTGAATGCAGAGAGTCAAGAGCCAAACCTCCAGGGAAATGGGGCAGTAGAAGGAGTAGATTGGGATGAGGATCTATGTGGTAAGGATATGATTGCAGGGAGAGAGGGAGAGTAGTTGGGGCAGGAAACAAACTGGCAGGTTGGTGAGGAAGATTGGGATGTCCAGAGAAGGAGACTGGTAGCCAGATAGGAAGAAGGATGCCAGTGGAGAGTAGGAGGGGAGAATGTGATTGGTTGACCAGTGAGACAGTGGCAATGAGCAATGGGCAAGTGAGATAGGACTGGTTAGACTGAGAGTCCTGGTGATGATGAAGACTGGGACTTGGACATGGAGCCTGAAGGGTGAATCCTGGACTGGCTAGCTAAGAAGACAGGAATGGGCGTGAGGAGTCTAGGGATGTAAAAGTGTAACAGTTTAAGTGCTTAACTGGTAAGCATCAGCTTATCTGTTTCCATTACGGTTACTCATTAGCGGCTCCCACTCCCAAGGAGCAGGCTGCCACCTGGCACTTCAGGCTTTGCAGTATAAAGTGAAAAATGGGTAAAAAGTTGTCCTGGCAGAGACACAAGGTATATAACCATCTTTTCTCTGTGAAAACAAAGACATTTTCTTATAAAGAGCAGCAGGACTCCCCAACCTTCCCCTCCCCCCTCGCATTGATGGTTGCTTTTCAGAGGCAAATCCCATGATAAAATGCTGTATGAAGAAGTGGACTCATTTCTCCACTGGGAAGCCATAGAAAGAGTTCTACCTGAACATGAAAGGAAAGCATTCTTCTTACTACTTAGTCCCCCAAAAGAATGGGGAATGAAGATTGATTCTCAACCTATGCTGACTAAATGTGTTTATATGAAAATTAAAATTCTGCATGGTAACATAAGATACTAATATGTATCAGTAATTCCCTCTTTGGATGAGACCACATGGTTTGTGGTTCTAGACTTGAAAGATGTATTCATCCACCTCACAGAAGTTTCCTTCTTGGTCATGACCATTAACAACTCAGAATCCTTCCATTCATTCTAATTATGGTGTAACCCATACACTGCTGGGTGTGGTTCACTGTCCCACGAAGTGGCACTTAGACCACTTACCGAGAGAATGAGTTTGCTCTATATCCAGCTGGCTTTTAGCTCAAACTGAAGAGGTTCATGCACCAAGCTGTTTATTCCCCATATCGTTGTACATAGCCACAGGTTTTTTCCCCTCTTACTGCTTTTTTGAAACTATTGTAATTATTTTACCTCCCTCCTTTCTTCCCCCTGCCCCAGGATCTAGCCCTCTGTAAAGATTACTTTTTTTTACTGACCTGTGGGTATTTTTCCCTAGCCCCTTTTGAACCTTGTTTAAAGCTTTCCTCATTAGATTGATAATCAGTATCCAAAGATCATCATCTTGGTCAGATGGGCACCATCTCTGACTAATAGTTCTTCCCAAATTGCATCCCATGATTGAGACAGTCTAAGTCCTCCCATCAACACTATCTTTGCAGCCATTCATTCATCTCCAAGATGCATGTATCCTTGCCTGGGCTCTTAAGGTTTAGTCTTTCATATTCTTGTAGGTAATCTCCACTGGAAATACCTTTGCTATTGACAGAGACCGTTTTTATTTCTGTCACAAGCACATAGAGTACCAAATGAGAATGTGTACATATACTTTATTCCTCTAGCCCACCTTTTTTAAGAAAAGTGATGTCTACTAGTTGCAAATTGTAGAAGCTACCTGGAAGCCAGTGTGGAGGAGGAAAAGACATCTTTCCTTGCATCTCTCTTAGCTTTTAATGCTGAACGCACTAAAGATAAATTTACTCCAAAAGCAAAACAATAAACTGACCTCATTTTTAATGTCTTTTTAGGTAAACATTGAATCTATTGATTACTTTGCTGTTCAATAGATTATTGGGATCACAATCTTACTAGCAATTTTCCTGACTAAAGAATGGTCAATAGTACAGTTACTGATCTTGGAAGATCAGATGCCCATCCACTCAAAGAGCAAGGACAAAACGTGTGAAGTTACAGTAACTTTTCATAGTAATGACTGTCAGAGGATTACATTTTGCATATGTTTGCAGTAACTGAGGTCCCCCACTCTTGGCCAATTTCTCTCTTTCAAATGAATAGTCACTGACCTTCTTTTCACTGCTTTGGCTGAGCATGGTGCCAAGACCATTTTGGTACCCCAAAACAACAAAATCTTAACCACGGTCACAACTTGTAAATAATTTACTTTCAGACTATCAGTGAGATACAAAAGATAAGCTATAATAGTCCTATTTTAGAGTTAAATTTGTATTATTATTATTATTATTGTCAAAAACCAGTCAAACTGGGTGAGTGAGGTATATCAGCCAAATACACAGAGTAGGTCAGTTGCCAACCATCCTCTAAGGAATTATCCTAATACAGAAATGTCCTTGGAGGAGTATTTTTGCTAAAACACTCACTTTTCAAATGTCAGTAGGATTTTCATGTATTTATAATCAGTTGAGGACCTGTACATTTCCACTAAAATATGTTTGTAACTGAATGTTCATACTAAGTCCTTAAAGCTAACTGTTAGAATCCTAAGTCCCAAAAGCCTTTATTGTACCTGAGCATTTTAGTAACCTCCTTATGATCATATCTAATCCATATTTGCCCAATTTATTAAACTCATATGACTGTTGTTAAAGTGAACATCAATCTTTATTGATATGAGAAGTAAATGTTGACTCAGGTACAGCAATTTAAACAGTATTTAATTGGAGGGGCACTAAATCATGATGATCACTCTGGGAAGACTTCCTTACAGTCTGACATACTTTCAGAATATCAAGAAAGCTTTCCATCAGTGTCATGAAATTAATTTTATGGTATTTTTAAATTTACATTCTAAATGGTAGACCAATTTAAAAGTGTAAAAAAAAAAAAAAAATCTTGAACCAACCAGAAGTTTGTAACCAGACTGAATCATCAGTCCTGCCAATACTGTCTTTGACTGTTCAGAAGCAAAGTAGGCTGCGCTGACTTGCAAACTAATTGCAGTGTAGTTAACGTTATTCAAGGCTGAATTACTGACCTCTGAAGAAGCAAGCCAGAGACTCCAACTTCTCAACAGCAATTTTCAGTTAAGGTTTTTCTCCCTATATGTACCAGTTTATTTTCATCCTCATGATTTTTTTTAAACAAATTGTTCATGTAACACATACATGTAATAATATTTACTGTACATTTTTATTACTAATTTTTTTTAGCTCTGGCCCTGTCCTTCGAATCATTCTTCACTGATTTTTTTGTATACTGTATATTATACCATAGCAACAGTAAGTAATAGGGACCTGTGTTTCATCCTGCAAGCATGCTGACTGTACTAACCATGAGAACTCACTTAAAATCTGTAAATGACAATATTTGAAAGTTATATAATATCACACATTTGGTAATCTAGTTTTTGAAAAAAGAACAAATTCGTTTAAATATGTGTGTTTCCTGAATGACAACAGGCATATATTTTAAACATATTTGTCATTTTTGGATTTTATACGTTGCTTGTGTATTGCTGTTTTAAATCTTTCTTCTTTGTAACCTGTATACTCTGGTTTTTTTTATTCTAATACATGTGGCAGAGTTTTTAGAAAATGTAAGTCTGATGCTATTTTCAATTAAGGGAACTGCATAATTGCTCATATTACTCCCTGGTGGAACTTTGGCTTCAGCAGAGGTAATCAGGGATGAATTTGGCCAAGATACTGTAATTTAATATACTTCACATTTCCCACTGTATGTCAGAATAACAACAAAAAATGTATTCTGTGGGTCTTTGTGCTTTTACACATTTTATTACTGCATCCACACTGTCCAGATTTATTTAGTGTTGAATTATGTTGTAAATCCTAGGAGTTACAGATGGAAGCAGTCTGAGGTTATCACATCCATCATCTTACTAATGCAAGATTCTTTGTCAAATCAATTAAGATTGTGTATGTGTGTCTTTATCAAATAGTCAACTGATTTTTGTGAATTAGTGTAAATACAATGGTTGATGTGTTTGAATTGTGTTTCTGTAAAGGTACTTACCGGAAGGATTTACAATGTTTTCCTATATATATTTCATTAAGAATGAGGAGTCTTTCTTCATAAGACTTTTAAGAAACAATCAGGACATTCAAGTTTCTCACAGCTATTCTTTGTAATAATTGGCAAACCAGATTCCACATACACTATCTGTAGTTTCATTGAGTCACTGAATTAGGGAAAGGAAGATTAATCTTCACATCCCCCATGAATGACAATATATTCTTTTTTTGATATCTTAATATGCGCTAAACGTGTATCAGGAATGACAGCACTTACAGTTTATAGAATGAACCGATATCAAAACATTAGTGAGCCATCATTTTTTGAAAGTTAAGGAAATTAAAAATAATACTCGCACCCTATCACATTTAATTACATGTAAAGTAATTATAATACAGGCAGTCCCCGACAGACCACAGGCACCGGGACTGAAGCGGCAGCAGCGGCGGTTCCCCCCGTGTCCCTGGTCTGCTGGGGGGAGGGGGACGCAGCTAGTGTGCCCCCCCAGCAGACCAGGCTTTTGTTTTGGACCCTGGGGCAGAGCAGCTGGGGTGCTGCCGGGTTGGTCCTGCAGGGACCTACCTGGCAGCCC